ACTAGAGAGGAAATGGTCTTTGTCCTTGATGTCTTTGGACCCCAAATGTATTTACTGTGGGTGTAAGAATCATAAGGACCACTTTCAAGTAATTTTTGCTCAGCCCACACCTGAGCTCTAAAAGTGCATGCCAATCAGCACTCACTTCATATTTGCTAATTTGACTTTACTCTCTCCGTGGAAGCTGAACAAATGATTCTATCTCTACCTTTATCAAAAGTGAAGTTGAAAAAAAAAACTCCTCCAGTTCACCATGACACTATTGATACCAGTGAAATGTTTTATCCTAGCAAATTTTGATAGCGTAGCTGAATTTTGAGTTAGAGTATTAGTCATCCCAGCCCAGGAGGCTAAGTTCCAATAAGAATAGAATAGAATAACAGAGTTGGAAGGGACCTTGGAGGTCTTCTAGTCCAACCCCCTGCCCAGGCAGGAAACCTTACACCATTTCAGACAAATGGTTTTCCAACATCTTCTTAAAAATTTCCAGTGTTGGAGCATTCACAACTTCTGCAGGCAAGTTGTTCCACTTATTAATTGTTCTAACTGTCAGGAAATTTCTCCTTAATTCTAAGTTGCTTCTCTCCTTGATTAGTTTCCACCCATTGCTTCTTGTTCTACCCTCAGGTGCTTTGGAGAATAGTTTGACTCTCTCTTCTTTGTGGCAACCCCTGAGATATTGGAACACTGCTATCATGTCTCCCTAGTCCTTCTTTTCATTAAGCACACAGTAGGAGTACTTAAGGCTTAACTGGAAGACAGTACAAGAAAATAACATCAACGCATAACATGAGACAGCAATCAAAGAATATTCAAGAATGAAATGAAAAAAAAGACCTTATAGATCTTTTGAAAGTGAGGGAACACCAATGAGATTACTATGGGTAGATTCCTTCAAACTCCCAATTTTGATTTCCTTATATTGGCTCTGAACTTCCGTGATTGACACTCCTTTTTGATAGTTTTATCTAGCTGTATTTTGCCAAACACAAGTTCAACAGATAGCAGTGACACCGTCTTAAAGTTAAGGAATACAGGTAATCCTGAATTCATTATCAGTTACTTAGCAACCATTTAAAGTTACAATGAAATCCCCTAAAGCTATAACCCCGTTCTTAAGTTCTGACAGCTACATGCACATATGCATGTACACCACAGTCACATGACAATGTAAAGGTGGCAACCAGCTCACCTTTCTGGGCTATTGCACTGTTCCAAGTCACATGACTGTGATTTGGAATGTTTTTTGCCAGTTTCTGAAAATTTCACCTTTACATTATGGTTGTAAGTTGAGGTCTGCCTGTATTTCTTTGTATCAGGTGGTGATGAAACCATTTCAAACTTATCAAGTATCTGTTTCCCAAGGTTTTTGGACTGACAATGATAAAGATCATCCTACTCTACACAGATATACCATCAAATTTGGGGAAAAAGCTAAGTATTCCCAAAGCATAGCCCTTTGGTGATTAAAATAAATGGTAATATAGTTCTGTATTTTATAGTCAATTCTGTAGGTGAAATGGGGAGCATAAAAGTCTAATAAATAAAATAATAAAATAGAATAAATACTGTGTTTTCCTGAAAATAAGACCCTGTCTTATATTTTTTGAACCTTGAAATAAGCGCTTGGCCTTATTGCCATGCGCTCAAAAGCCCGATTGGGCTTATTACAGGGGATGTCTTATTTTAGGGAAAACAGGGTATTACATAGTGTTTTATGTATGATGCGTCTAAGGGAAAGAAGTACACGTTATTAACCAATCCCTTCTTGCAAATCTTCCAGAAAAATCATCAGCACTACACTTAGAAGTGTATGTGGGAAGCATCCTGTCTAATAAGACAGCAAATGTAATTTAATAAAGGATAAGTTTACACTTATGCAAATTCCCTCTGTAATTCAGGCAAGAAAATTGTTATACTTTTATCTGAAAAATATCTTCTTAAAAGCTGTAACTTAACTTTAGGTGCAATCCTGTTTAAGAACAAGCTCATTTTAAAGAGCAAATTATTCATTGTATCATATTATTTTTCACTGTATGCAATATAATCACACCTGACTTTCCAGAAATTTGATGAAGCTCAAATATTGCATTCATTTTCACCTTCCTAGAAGCTATAACCATCACATCCCTATTTTTCCATTTTCTTCTCTCCTCGTGGACTGTGATTCTTCCAAAATGTTTCGCTAAAATAATACACTCTCAGATGATGCAAACACCCCCCCGATTTATCTGTATTTTTATTAGTCTATTCTCCATATCCATGTTTTCTCTATATATATTGAAAAAAATCTATTCCATATAAAAAGGAAATAAATTCTGTGCAAGAATATGTTAACAGGTTTTTTCGATAGATTTTTTTGGACATTTGGGAGAAAAAATGAAATAGGGTTAATATTATTTCTAAGAGCTGATGCCATCTTTGAGAGAAAGAAAATGGAGCATTTTACATATTGCAGATACTGAGTTTTACTTGATAAAATCAGTTTGAGGAAGTGACCCAGCGTAATATTGATGAGTGAAGCTACCTGGAGTTCTTCTACAAGGTAGAACTGTCTTCTCTATTTGGGGTTCTCCAAATGTCTATTGACCCTGTTAACTGGAGATTCTGGAAGTTCTTCTCCAGTGTCATTGTAATATCAAAGTAGGAACAATATATAGTGTTTCCACAATATATTCAAAAATGTTCTTGCCCAAGGTCGTATGGTTCTTTTCTAGTATAACTAAATGTGATAAAGGTTTAAATAAAATTAGAGCTTCATCCAGAATCTATTAAAGTAAAATATAAAGTTGAAAATACATCTAAGCGTGTGAAAAAGCTCCATTCACCCTTCAAAGCAGTATTTTGTCATTCAGAATTTGCATATATGTACATGTCTCCAATATTGTGAGTAATGAAAATGGCTTAAAAACTATTCAGCCTAAGCACTCACTCCATCCTCTATAATACTAATAATAAATGACTTCAATAAAACTCTGTCAGTATGCATGGCAAATTCACCGCCTTGGATTTTTCTTTTAGCCCAGTCATTCTCTTTAAGTTTATTTTAGTTTTAAAACACAGGTGGTGGTTTTTCACTAAATTTGTTAGCATTCTAAATATGCTGCATAAGTATGATATACACATATGAATTAAGCTGAAGGCAGGAGGGACAACATTCAGATGCTAAAATGCTGCAATAATACTTGTGAAATCCTTGCCTGGCTTCACTAAAATTTAGGGTTTCATAGAAATAAAGACTAAGTATACTGTCAGGAATAAGTATCTGTTTAGAAAAGCAACAAACCTTCTGCTCAAAACAGCTAAGATTTCTCTAAAGTAATATGCAATTCTATAGATTTTTTGGTATTACGGTCTTTTTACAATCATAATGAATAACAAAGGAAAAACTTTAAAAAAATAAAATTTAATTGCAAAACAAACCACGCACAATCCCATACCTAAATTATATCCAATTGTAAAATGAAAGGAAAAATACATTTAATGAAAAAAATTCAGGCTATTGAAATTATGCAACTTTCTTTAATTACATCATTGCAATTCACTTTCTGAACAATGAGTTAAACCTAGACTATACAAAATCATATTGTCCAGTCTTGCTTCTCCTTCCATACAAAATTCATTCAGAGTCTGAGAGCTGACAGATTTCATTAAAGCAACTTTTAAGAATTTGGAAGGCAAGCCTCCTTCCAAGAATACATAACTACTTTTCTCACAGCAGCCCAAGCTTGTCGCATCCAAATTCTTTGTAGATGTATGAACACTAAATGGTTATTAAATACCGTTAGAACTGAAAGTTAATAAAATAAGTGCAAGAATGCATCAATTTCTCTCCTCTTCTGAAATAATTTGTAAAACAAATTCTCTTCCATTGATTAGAATAGATGGGAAGTTGGTAGGAAAATAAACAGGAGAATGCCTCTGTCTTGCCTAATGATAATAGTAACAAAAGGTAAAGGATTCCCTGCAGATTTTACTCCACTAGTCATTGCTGACTATAGTGGAAGGTGCTCATCTCTGTTCCAAGTCCATTGATCCAGTGTGGTCTGAAGACATTTTCATGGTCATGTGGCCAGCATGACATCACATAGCACTATTACCTTCCCACCGAAGTGGCACCTATATATCTACTTGCATTTGTATGCATTCAAACTGCTAGGTTGGCATGATCTGGGGTGAGCTCACTCCATCACATGAAGCTCGGGTCTCGAACCTGATCTGCCGATTTTCTAGCCAACAAGCTCAGCATTTTAACCTCTGAGCAACTGCATTGCCCAGTGGTAATAGTAACTGTATTTAATGTTAACTACATTTCAGTATATATCACGGGTGTCAAACTTGATCATGTCACGTAACATCATGTGACGTATTGTGACATTTTTTGCCTTTGTGGAGCTGGAGTTGCAGGGTGACCTGTGCATGACATATCTGGCCCATAGGCCACCAGTTTGACACACCTGGTATATATAATATGAGATTGCACTTGATTTTTCTCTTCACTCAGCTAACATTTTCTGGAATGCAGTTTTCAGTGCACCTCTTGAAAGCTAGAGAACCAGTTTGATGTAGTTGTTAAGACCCCACGCTATAAACTAGGAACTATGGATCCTAGTCCTGACTTGACCAGTAAACCAAGTGGGTAAGCTTGAGGCAGTCACTTTCTCTCAGCCCTAGGAAAGAAGCAATGGCAAACCACTTCTGAAAAACATTGCCAAGAAAACAGAAGGAATTTGTCCAGGCAGTCACCAGGAATAATAATAATAAAAAAGAAAATGTCTTGAAGGTACACACACACACACACACACACACACACACACACACACACACAAGCTAAGTGTTGCTTCAGGGTGAAAAAAGGTGAGCACTTTTCGTAACCTGTGTATTTCAGGTCAAACCCAATGATTTTCTGCCTTGGCAGGGTGAATATCTCCTTTCAAAAGCCTTTTGTTGCCACTGGAAACCTATTACACTTTCTGAATGATTTAAGCCAGAAGTCTCAATAAACAGAACATATACTTTTACTTTTACACTGAGGTTTTCTTTGAAATGTTCACTGTAATGTTCACTCTTCCTAACGTTTGAATTTTTCAGGAACATTAATTTTTCTCTTCCCTTTTTTCTTCTCCTCTTTCTCCTCTTCCTTTGAAAGTTTGTTGAGGCCTGCTCCCATACGTTTATATTCCTTTGATCGGTGGCCTACAATATAAATTTAATTTATTTCCATTAGGAACTCTATAATAATATTGGGAAAGCAGTAATTTCCTTATATACAGTAAAAAAAAAAAAACCCTAGGTTTCATATTAACCAATTGTTTTAGCATCTGTATAAAATCGTTGCAATTATATTTCCAAGTATAAGTCCAGGTGTCTCCTCTAGAAAAGAAACAAGGGAATGTCTCTAAGGCATGTTCACAATTTCCATTAAAAGATTTTCACTCAACCAAACACTCGCTAAGAGAACTGACACTTCAGACTTCTCAGTTCTCTAGGTTAAGTAAAGCTGATAAAGTGTTGAAAGAAGACAGGATTAAGTTTGCCTGGTTCATTTTACACTTCCATGATATGCAAGCTTGCATACTTGGTCTTGTCTGACTTATATGCTGCAGTGTTTCCTATTATTGCTATCTTGCTTCAGGTTCCCTCTAGTGTACCTTGTAAACCAAGTGCTAAAGCACTGCAAGTCGTCAGAGGTTCAGTGCTGGGAACAAAATGATTAAATAGAAAATCATGTTTTAATCTGGGATAGGTTTCATTTTGAGAACTGTGAGCAGTCTCCCATGGCCAGTTTCCACATTTCTATTTAAACTAGTATGATTACTCCCCATCTCTCTCTAACTCCTTCCAGATTCTATTACTCCAACTTAACATTTCAAAACAAAGCACTTGGTTGCAATTTATTTTCTGATACTGAATACTTACATGGTCTATGTGGTGCCCAAAGGCATTCTTGTTAATAAAGAGCTGGCACTATTTTTTGCAGCGTGCCACCTTCGTATTGAATTGTGTTTTTTAATTAAAAGAATATTTTTAAAAATCAGAGCAAGGTAATGGGAAGCATGGAGATACCTAAGTAAAAAGCCTGTGGGCATCATGGCACTTGTAGGCAATATGTTGTCTTCCCCTGCTTTCAGCTATGATTTTTTTTTCCAGCTCTGTCAGGACAAGGGGAACACAAATGTTTCCTAGAATATCTCTTGATTTAACACACTCTTGGAATTTAGGCATTCTGCAGTCTAAATTATTACTTTTTACAAATTGTATAATGTTTATTAAATTATAGAATAAAATACAAAAGCAAATAGTAGGATACAGTGAGGATGGGAAAGAGAAAGAAAAGTGAGGAGGAGAGCGGGGGGGCGGGAGTAATTTAATTCCGACTCCCTCTGTTGCAGTAGAATAAAGCATTAACGTTGAACCTCAACTTTTATTACTTTTCCTTAATAGTATAAACTAGCCATTTCTATAATAACAAATCAATCTAATCAGTAAAATCCAAAATCAAAGATTCATTTCCCCTCCTCAAGCACAAAGACCTGAAGCAGTCTCCAAGTAGAAACAAAAGTTTCTTATTATAATCTTTTCTTTGATCAAAATGGTCAATTTAGTCATTTCTGCCAACTCTATCAGCTTCTGTAGCCATTCGTCCATGGTAGGGATCGAAATGTCCTTCCATTTTTGTGCATACAGTAGTTTTGCTGACGTCAACGCATATATGATCAAAGTTCCAATTTTTTTTTCCAATCTTTTTCCATTAAGCCCAAAGAAAAGTTTCTGGTTTCATCTTGATCTTCGCTTTAAGAATTTTCTGTATTAAGATATGAATCCTACTCCAATATTTCTTTTACAGTCTAAATTATTATGATTAGGCAAAGCCTCCTATCACACAAATATGAATTTATGATTGTGATAAGCTATCGTGAGTGTTGCTTATTTAAACTTGTTACCCACTTTCCAAAATAAGCAAATGAATCAGAAAAAAATAACAGATCCTGATTTTTATATACATATTTGGATTTGGATAATACTTTATTTTGTTTTTTAACTATACTATAGTCATACTATACTCAGTCCTGGTATCTCTACAGCCCTACAGCTCAATATTTGAAGTCCAAAGTCTGGTGTAGAAAGTCAAAATTTCTGAACTAGGTTGCAAAGCTAGGCTTTTTAAAAGTCTTTTAACTGATTAAAAATTATGGATATAATTATGTATTCTTTATACTTGCTGCTGAGAAAATTTCCATTAATATACTGTATCTTTCCATTAATAATAGATAGTAAAATGGTAGAAAAACAAAAGAAAAAAGTTTCTTCCCTTCTCTATTTATTAGAATTATGATGGTGTTCAGAAGGGAAGTGTTGTGGCCCGCCAGTGGCCTGCGCGGATTGTGGCTGATCCCGACGATGAGGAGGCTGGTGTGGTGTCGCGCCAGCAGCCTGCGCAGCTGGCGCTCGCGTCGGACAGCAAGGAGGCTGAAGAGGATGTGGACAGAGGCAGAGCCTTCAGAACCTCCAGAGGCTCCTTCAAGTGGAGAGAGTGAAGTGGAGGAGCCTCTCCTCAATGCTCAAGCCCGCAGGGTTGCCAAAAGGCAGGAGTGGCTACTCAGGAGGAGGAGGTCTCCTCGAGAGTAAGGCTTGAGGATAATTGGCCACTCCCTTAGCCTATTTAAGTCACACACGGTTAGTAAGTTTCAACTAAGAAACAACTTGTAATTATCATCAGAGCATTCTTGGAAAAGTCTTATTGTATTTTGTTTTCGTGGCTGGTTGCCAACCTTTGCCAGACTTTGGTTTATTCTTGCTACTTAATAAATCTGATAAGGACCATTGGTGTGTGTGTCAATATCCTCAGAAATCCAAAGCTGGGGCAGAACAGGAAGAAACTTTTTTCTTTTGTTTTTCTACCATTTTTTTTACCATCTATCATTTCAATTTCTGACATTTTCTGGGTGATTCAAGGATCACATACCGATTGGATTTTTCCAATTGATATTCAACTTTTAGACCAATACATGCAGAGGAATTATTCAATTTTGAGTAAGATTTTCTTTTTGTTCCCACAATTTGTATTTTCTTACATTCAGTAAGATGAGATCAGTATCTGAGTCTAATAGGCCATACATCCCTTTTTAAAAGAAGGATTGGTCTCAGTCTCATTAAAGAAGGGGTAATGAAACTACACCTGAAGAGAAATAATTGGATTTAAAAGATATAAATAATTATAGCTGGGTGCTGTCACATTTTGACAATTTACTGCTTTTACTATGATTGACTGTTACATCATTCTAAAGAAACTGTCAATTTGAACATCAACTTAATGAATGCTGGTTCCCATTTGGTCCTGTTCTCAAATTGTTGCTGCTAATCTATAAACCCAGATATTGGCATTGTATTTACTTTCATCTCTTTCTGTCAGTGTTCTGAGATCATCATAAAAAAGGCCTTATTCCATATGCCCTCCCTTCTTTAAAATAAGGCAAGTGGTCTTTTCAATTGAAGCCATTCATTAAAAAACATGTCCCTCGGGAATGTATAGGTAAAACTAAAGGTTCCCCTCACACATATGTGCTAGTTGTTCCTGACTCTAGGGGGCGGTGCTTATCTCCGTTTCAAAGCCAAAGAGCCAGCACTGTCCGAAGACGTCTCCGTAGTCATGTGGCTGGCATGACTAAATGCCAAAGGCACACGGAATGCTGTTACCTTCCCACCAAAGGTGGTTCCTAATTTTATAGTTGCATTTTTTACATGCTTTCGAACTGCTAGGTTGGCAGAAGCTGGGACAAATAACGGGAGCTCACCCCGGTATGCGGCACTAGGGATTCAAAGAACTGAACTGCTGACCTTTCAATCGACAAGCTCAGTATCTTAGCCACTGAGCCATCCCGTCCCTTATATCGGGAATGTATACCTGATGCCTAATCTGATTTGGGGGAGTGGGGCTGGTAATTTATATTTTTATTTATTTATTTTGACATGAGACAAAGAACTTCAGCCGAATTCACTTCACAGAGCTGTTGTGGGGAAAATAGGAAGTATTAAAAATACTTTAGGAAGGAAGGAAAGAGTATTAAAAAATGTTTGCTGCCTTGAGTTATTTATTAAAATAATAAAGGCAAGATATAAATAAATAAGTAAATAAAAACTTGTAGTCCTTTCAAGGATCTAGTTTTCTTGTTTTATGATTTTATGATTAAAATTTATCCCATGATACTTTTATTTTTTCTTTCTGGTTATTCTCTTACTGTCTATTGTTTTTAACACTGTTTTAATTTATTATTGGCTGTACTGTAATCTATATATGGATTTTATTAGTACATTTATGGGCATGCTGTCGCCATGAGAGATTTTAGCTACATTGGGCTGACACATTTTAGCTATAAATAATTCAAGGATTTTTTGTTCTTTTTTCCCCCTGTACTTACACTGGATCTCAGGTTTGAGAGTCATTGATATTAATTAGTTAAATTATCTGATTTAATTTTCTTCCAAAATAATCTGAAAAAGTAAAAACACTAAAACGAATTTGTGAAGTCTGTTATTTAGTACTTGCAGAGTACTAGGTCTATTTTAGATGGAAATCAGCCAACTGTAGCTCTAATTGGCATAGTTGAATGTAACCCTAATTTGAAAACTAATCTCAAACTTATCAGGAGTACAACTACATAGCTTCTTTACTACAGAGCAATATTGACTTAAGCCATCATATGACATAGACAAAGCGAGTTTTGTGGGGGGGAGGACTAACCTTCTTAGGCTTCCTAGAAAAGGATACAGCAGCATGAAGAATTTATATACATACATACATACATACATACATACATACATACATACATATATATATATATATATATATATATATATATATATATAGGAATTGCAGGTTGCTAAATTGTTTGTACAATTCTACATTTACTCAGAGGTAACTACAATTAATGCCACAGAACTTGTGTGTATAAAATTACAGTCAAAATCTGCAGTCCTAGTGAAGTCTATTAACAGCATCATTTAAACAATATTTAAAATATAAACAGTAGCTACACTTTTAACATTTTATCAAATGTTTGTTCCTAGTCTCTTACAACCCTGACTTCTGGATTTTTTTTTTCTTGATTCTACCACCTAGCAAAGTCAACTGGATGCAGAAATCAGCTGTGACATAAAAAGCACTTCTAATTTAACATAGAATATTCATTTCTGCTGGTATCTAATATTTTCTACAACGTATCTTTGTATCCTAGGACAGTAGTAAATTTATTCTCTTTGTCCTAAAAGATATTCCATGTGGTCAACAATAGAAGGTAAAATGAAATGAAATACAAATCAGTCCCGATATGAGAAAAAAATATTTAAATTACTAGTAATCAATTCGAATGAAAAAGACTTAAAGAAGTCTTATAAGCCACATATAGCGTGTTCTCTGTGATGCTGCCTAACTGCCTCTAAAAAACCCCCCACAATTGGTGAGTCATACTCTTTCTTCATAAAAGTTGAACTCTGTAGTTTAACTATGTGCACTTTCTTTCCTTTGTCTATCCTGACTCTCCCACCATTCAGCTTTTTCAGTGAACCCCACTACTCATCTGATGAGATAGGGAGAAATTTTTCCCTCTCTACTTTCCCACAGTAAGCAATAGGGAGACATCTCTCAACACCCCCTTTTTCTGTGCTAAAAATCCAAACCCTGCATCTTTCCTCACTGTTGCTTTTGCCCAGAAAGAGGGGGGGGAAGACTAGTGCTAACAATAAACTTGACTTAATTCATATATATATATATATATATATATTGTAAAAACAATACACATAAATCCTTGTCTCCCCCCCCCTCAAAAAAAATCTATGAAAAGACTTTAGGGCTTTTGTAAAAATGATATTTGGACAAGGGTACTATATTTTGAGTCACACATTGCTCTAGGAAATATAGAACAGATTTGTATTAGAATTCACAAAGATCAAGCTGTTTACTTATCCCTAAGGAAGACATTGGTGCTTAATCATTGATTATGTTTCCTGTCAGTTTATTCATGAAGTCAAGCACACAGCATGATGATAAAGGATCAGGGAGCCTTCTTGTTGTGCTGTTTCTTTGTCCAGTTTAAGATCTCTTTAAAAACCTAGAAAATCTGGCATCGAGCATCATCAAGACTCAGTCCCTGTAGTAAGCAGTCCAACTTATAAAACCATAATGAAAGTGTGGGTTGAGAACTGTTATGCTTGCAAGTGAACTCGAGATGACATTGCCACTGTTCAGTGAGACATATTCTTTTTATCTCTGCTATTGTGAGCTTCAATTTATAAACTGGTAATGTCTCCTTGTTGGGATTTACTGGTTATACGACAGATTTATAGCTAGAAACAGATGTTCTTCCTTCAAAATAGCTATGGAAGCGCTCTGGCTTCTGTAGCTCTGAAAAATTATCTCAGAGTGGAAACATGATATTTTATGTTATAGAAAGAGAACTAAGCTAAATTTTCTCTGTTTTTGTTTTGTGTGTAAGTTCTTTTTTTCTCTCAATAAACCCTGCACTGTTGAAAGTCACCCTCACTGTGGAAGTTTTCACACGAACACCAATGTATTTATGGAAAGGCAGCTGTTCAAGTTTTTTCCCATCTTCTCCATTATCCTGCTATGAAGGCATTAGTCCTTCATCATCCATTCATAGAAAAGGGATCATTTCAGCATCAAAACCTTAATTATTTCATTCACCAGCCAAATATGAAAATACAACTGCAGATCAAATGAAAAGAACAACAACTTACATCTTTAGAGAAGAATAACCTTCCACATGACGTTGGAGCACAGCTTGAAAAATCACAAGTCATTTTCTCAGAATCATTCTGGAATGGCTGGAGTGGTGTATTCTGGGGAAAAACAAAGCATCCTGTCCTGTTCTATAGAACATCCAGAATATTCTATTAACTGGATTCTTAGTACTTTCTGAAGTTGGCAGTTTTCTTGTAGATGTTTCATTATCCAATTAGGTAATGCCATCCCTGCCCTAGATACACTGTTCTATATCTGTAAATAAGGGCTTGTTGGCTTTATTGCTAGTTTTCTTGTCTGGAAGGCTTTCAGGGATTGAATTATCAACACTGTACCTATTATATTACAGGTGATTTAGGCTTTTATTGACTTGTAGGATTTTATTATGGTTTACTTTTTATATGGTGTCCATTGCTTGGAGTAATTCTCTGGGTCTGAAATATATAAACACACACAAAAAAACAAAATATTGTTTGTGCCGATATACTATGTGCCCAGGCATTGATTTTTTTAAAAAAACTGGTTTATGAGGTCAAATACTCAGAGTCTTTCCACATCATACAAAATAACAATATGAACTTAGTGGAACCTAATAAGTTATAGTGAAGAAATTATTTCAGCCTAAAAAATATTACGGCTCAATTGCTTGTTAAACAGTTGCAAATGCCCCAGTTAAAAATATTTGCACAAGAATTTTTAGTTTTATTCCTATATCAGCAATGAAGGGATGTAATTGCATGCTACTGTCTCCTTGGACAGCAAAGAGCGGTTTCTTCTGGACCAATTGTGGTGTCCCTCAAATGACAAAATCCTGAGATTTATGGTGCTAGAGCTCCACGAGGCTGTTGTTTTCCCTTTTTCAGGAACTTGTGCTTCTTCCTGCCTCCTTCTGCCTGAACAGAGAATTTTACATTTGATTCCACAAGTAAGTTTATCAATGAATCTGATCTACAGTGGTCAGTTTCTGGTCAGTTACACAGTTCCTGTATTTTTGTTCTTATAAAAAGTGGCTCACTTGATTTCTCTGACTTTCCAGACGTAGAAGCCATTATTTTCTTTTCCATCTCCCACAACATAGAGAGGCTGTACAATACAATTCACAATTATCATTGCAATTCAGAGAAAGCCCCTTCCTGAATATAAGCTGAAAGACTGTCTTTTAGTTTTCCCCACTTTCAGTGAATAGATTTTTGTTACTTAGTAATTAGTGTAGTTCAGTAAGTGGAGCACTAAGTGGGTTTTTTTTCACCGTCTTGTTGGACAGATGAAGAAATGATTGATTTCTGGTATTCCCTGCCTCTTTTTTGGCTTACCAAAGTTAACAAGAGTGAAAATCATTGTATGACAGTCTTCAAAATGCTTTGAATAGATTGAGAAATACAAGTAGTACCGTATGGAAGATTGCTCCAATTTCCTCAACATTTATTCGTGTTTTCCTTTATGTGACATGTTCTATGTGCCAGAGACATCTAAATAATCAGACTGGTAACTGATTCTTTGCTAGTAACAGCAACTCTGTAATAGCAACAGCCATCCTGGTCTACATTTACTGTTTCTAGGAAACACTAGTTTCTGCAATATAACGACATTAAAAAATAGATTCTGGCTGAGTGGCATCCAGAGTATATTACTATTTGTTTTGCACATCCTTAACTTTATGTGTGCTGGGATATATAAGGAATATCTTGAGATGTCCTTTCAGTAGAATCTCAGAAGAATCACCCCACTGTTGAATACCAAGTATACTGAGCAGTGAGAAAAGTTGGCAATTGTATTGATCAATGTCTCATAATCTGCTTCAGTGGATCCTTTGTCGCCTACACTGGCTGTTCAGTTTGCTTGATAATGACAGGGTTGAATAGTAGCAGCTCAGATAATGTTTATGACCACAAATTTATTCCATGAATTAATGTACAATACATGTGGACTCATTATCAGATGTTTGGGTGTTCCTATGTTTGCACAGAGCTGTGATTGTTACCTCAGATATTGGATAGGAATGAAAATACGTCAAGCTAAGTTTGTGCATAAGAATCAGCCAATTCCAAAGTGATTTTGAACACATTTTCATCATCCTGAAATGGAGCAGACAAATCTCAACTCACTCTTTTCTTTTATCATTATCTGATATTGATTATGATTTGTAATAGCAAAAAGGTCATGGCAGTAAATACAAAATGAAGAAGTTCAACGGATTATTTGGATGCAAAATGTTGAAGAGGTTCAATAGTGGTTGTTTCCGCAGAAGAAAAATGTACACATCTGTAACCCCAGAAAATTTGAAATGGTATGTTTGATTTTAAGTAGACATATTGTGGATGTTGTGTATCTTCCCATACTTCTGTCAATCAGCTTTAAAAGATACATTGGGCATCTTGTTTTTCAATGTGTATTCATTTTACTCTGATATTTGATTTATTAGAATGATTTTGAGGTTTCCATAATATTTTCATTGAATTCCTTCCCTGCTCAGCATGTTACTGAAGTATGGTAACGGTGTCTGGCATTCTGCCAAATGATAAACTGCTTAGACACAATGCCACACAATGTTCCCAACAGAAAATTTAAAAATTGAACCCATCGAAAAGAGTATATCAATGTTCTCTTGCATCTTAAATGATTAATAATATTTTTATAAAACAATTTGTCAAATATAATAGATAACCATGGAGCAAGCAAAAAGTGTCACACAACCTCAAACTTTAAAAAAAAGAGAGGGGGGGAAATGTGATTATCAAGATCTTAAAACAATTTAAAACTTCTTCAGTGAAAGTTATAGGCATCTTGATATTAAGTAAATGGCAACTATTTGCTCCAATGTCACAGAAGTATGTTACATTACTCAGTCATCAGTGAAATTGCATCTATAAATGAAATCAGCAAATAAGAAAATAATAAATTCAAGAATCACATTGTATGTCGAAGAATTGCCTACCATACATTAGTCATCAATAGAACTGGTTCTGAATATTACAGTCAGGTTTTATTTCAAGTAACAAGCTGTCTTGGCCCAACCTTCCATTTACCTCACTTTTTCTAGTAAAGAAAGAATGTAATTGCATTTGTTGAAGCTGACTTTTCTTATAGATAAATAACTCAGAGATGTTGTCATATCAAACTGTCTGACCTATAAGACAGACTAGCAATCACATCATCCAAAATTATTGAAATTCTGGTTAGGGTTAGTGTCGCTTATTGAGATGAGCAGCTATAGAAATCAAATAAATATCCATTGAGTGAGTTAATAGTAGCTTCAGCACCCTTCAATATTTCCCAAAATATGAAACCTTCAATTATGTGCAAATGGGAGTTGCACAATTTGATAGAATCTCTTTTTCCAATTCTTTATCATATCTTCACATATTTCATTTATAGAGCTTCCCTTCTATAATACTTTATAGATACCAAACATATAACCAGATTTGACAAAAATAGTACTCTTACGAATATTTTCCATTGTTTACCAATAAACCTCAAGGATGGCATTCAGAATATATTATTCGAAATCTGCTAATCTAAACATATTTCTATTTTACAATTTACGTTATGCATCCTCTTGAAAATATGTTGATTTCATCCCTTTCTCCTAAATAAAAGCTCCTTATATGATAGTCTTTATGTAGGTTATCGTTTGAGCTTTAATGCATACTGATTTTTAAGAAAGTTTTAATAAATAAGCAAACATTTTTCTCACTGGGTTCTATTCCTTTGAAATGAAGGAGTGTGCTTGTACAGATTCTTGCTGTTTTCTCAATTCAGAGCCACAAAGCAAGACTAAATAAGGAAATAGAGATAGGTGAGACACAGTTTTGATTGCTCTTTAAGTGCTCTCTTTTATTTCCTTGATTCTCCAGAGAAATGGTAGCATCTGAAGGTAACAGACTAATTTGTACAGAGATGTATTCTTTTCAAATGCTTTACAAAATAACTGGAGGGAGCCTTACCCCTGATAGCCAGGATTTTTTTTATTGCAGGATTTTCATTTATTTATTTTTTTAAAATGCAGTTGTACAGCTAGCACTGAATTTGGGAAACGTCACTTAGCTTGCACCAAAATGTTTCTAATCTAATTGGTAAGGTCTTATATACCAGGGAGGGCAGAACCCAACCATTGGTGGATTTAAGTGTTAGTACAAGCACCTTAAATCTCCAGGAAGCTAGTGAAGCTTTGCTTATACAGATGTTGTGTACTGTGCTTGGAAAGAGCAGGTATAAGCCTGGTCACTGCATTCTGAATTTCTTCTATTTGCTCAGTTTCCTTCAGGTATATCTCAGAGTTTATATCCAGAGTGTAGTACAATAGGAACAAGAACATGAATAATAGTGGGCACTATTATCTATAGCTCTATAGCTCTTCAAGAAGGAATATAGTTGGAATAGGCACTCATTTCTAGTGGCCTAAACTGAGAATTTAAGGACAGTGCAGGATTAAATAGCATTCCCAAACTGCACCCCTGTTTTTCAGAGAAATTATTACCTGTTCTAATCCAAAAACAGAACCAGTTTGACAAAGTAGTTAAGGCATCAGGCTAGAATTTGGGAAACTATAAAATCTGGTTCTGCCTTAGCCACAAAGACAGCTTGGTGACCTTGAAACAGTCACCATCTAACCCTAGGGAGCTGCAAACCACTTCTGCAAAATCTTGCCAAGAAAAAAGCAGGGATTTTTCCAGGAAATTTTCAGGAGTCAAAAACTAACTCAAATGCAAATAATAACAACTAGAACAACAATGCAAGCAAGGTCATACAGAGATAATTTTTTCCCCAATAACCAAACCACTTTCTCATCTGGGTCCAGTTTTAATCTGTATATCTCACCTATGTGTTAGGATTATATATACCTTTTTTCTTAGCTTGGATTTGAAAATATATTATTTTTTAAAAGTAAAACTGCTGAAACCTGGATAAATCTGTTTAATTTAGAAACAGAAGTAAACTACATTATTCCTATAGATACAATGCTGCCATGATTTAAGTGATGGGTTGAGAGAGAGTGTCTGCTCAAGGTCACCGAGCTGGCTTTTATGCCTA